CAGTGCATCTACCTCTAAGCAAGCATGAGAGATACTTCAAATTGCACATAAATGCATAGACAAGATAAAGAAAATTCGAATTCAAACTCTCCGAGCTGAATTTGAGGCACTTCAATTGAAGGAAGAAAAAATGTGGAGAATTATTTCACAAGAGTCTTGACTATCGTCAATGAACTACGAAGGTATTGAGAAAAATTAGAGGATGTTCGAGTGATAAAAAATTCTACGTTCAATAAATGATAAATTTGAGCATATTGTAGTAGCTATTGAGGAAGTTAAAGATTTAGATACAATGACTATTGATGAACTAATGGACTCTTTAATGGCTTATGAGCAAAGAAAAAAATAAGAAAAAAATAGGATACCATCAAACAAGTTCTCCAATCAAAGCTCTCATTAACAGCTCGTATAACCTGAAACCACATTCCTGGATATCAATTTATTTTGATGATACTAATGACGGTTATAACCGATGCAAATCTCTAGGTTTGCACCATTTATGACCGCTACTAAATCTAGCATTTCGTCGAATCTACCGTGCCGCTTCAAAAACCGTTGCGGAATGTTATTGCAGCACATAGCAATTGCAGTGGAAGTACAGTGGTTTTAAAACCTCGCGGTTATAACCGTTGGGATAACTCAAAAATAATGTTGTAGTAGCCGTATTTTTTTGGTGGTATGGCATAGTATGACAGGCTAAGAGTTAAAGAAAGAAGATGCAGAGAAGTGCATCATAGATCTATGCTTACGGCCAAGCACAGTAGTCGACGTAGGGAAGGGGAAGAAAAAGCATGGGAGGTATTTTTCTGAACAAATTCTTCGTGGTTGATTTGTCAACACGAAGAAGCTGCAGCAGAAATAAAGGGCATGCATGGTTTTTAGACAAAGGAGAAATCAACTTGTGAACCTTCACGTACGTTTGAAGACACCTGGTTGGCTCATAAGAGAAGATCGACAGTATTTTATTTTGGTCACATGCACTTTGGCATATCACTGTCATGGCCAGCTTTATGTGGAAAGACTTCATTGATCTGTAACTTAATTCTCAATAAGTTAAGAAAGTTCTTCTTCCCTGTTGGAGCAGCTCGAAGTTATCAGTTTTGCATGTTAGAAATTATGCTGATAGAGAGAGAACTTGATAGTTTAAGTTGGGGACGAAGCTTATCTTGTTCGGTTGGTTGAGAGTTTTGACTATCAACTAAGATCGAAGTCTTGGACTCGAATCTTACGTATGTTATATTGTCTGTGTAAGTTTGTCTTAATTGACTTAAATGCCAAAAAAAAATTAAGTTATGACAAATTTTAGAAATGATTATCATTGTAACTTTTACGTTAAGTCGCCGGCAAGCCCATCGACTTTGCTTAAGTCGCTGGCGCGCCCATCCAATGGCTTTGCATGTAATTTTTCCTAAAAAATATATATTAAATAGATAAATTAATTAAATTTTAACATATTTTTCTATTTTATATATATAAGGTAACCATATTTTTTTAAGTAACAGAATTATTAATGTATTACTTAAATCATATATTAATAATAAATAATAATAATTTTACATAATTTTTTAAAATCCAAAATTTTATATCATAATTTGTTCATACTAATTAACCTAACGATTGCTATATATATATGCTAGGATGAGAAATG